CCTCAAATGCCTTCACAAAAACTTAGGAGAAGTTCGAGATCCTAGTAAACCACCTGACGGTATCGACCAATAAGGGTGAGTTGGTTTACCTTGATCTCAGCCGCGATGACGTGAGATCGACCACCCAAGCTGTAGTACTACTACAGTGAGCTTCCACCTCCACACTCCGCTACCTCAACCTCGACCTCATGTAGGTCAAAAACCGCATAGGTCGGCAAAGGGCGCGAGTTCACGGGTTATGGCTACACACTCCTCTTTCCTGTTCATTTGGGGTCTTTCGCTGAAATCCAAAGGCCCTGATTCGAATTATAGGGTGGTCCGCTCAGAATGGCTGGGGTTTTCTCCTCTTCAATTTACGAAAAGAGAATATTCTGAAAGAAACGGCCAAAAAGCTCTCAGTTCACTCTCATGAAGTCAGGCTACTTCAAATAAGGTAGATAATTCACGCCGGTTCATGCAATATCCCCTTTTATACGGCGATTTCTGAAATCCTTACAAGGGTTGGGGTAAAGTTACCGTAACTGACCCCACGTAAAACAGTAGTGGAAAAGGATTTTTATTTCGGAGTTATCACAGAGAGCGAAACTGACCACATCAAGTATTTGTTGGAAATCGAGTCCGAGTAGTACGAGCACTGGTTCACTATCGTTTTTCACTGGACGAGCGAGTTTGTTGTAGCCATCGGCCAATTTTGCATACAAACGACGTTCGTGATCTCCTGCCCAAACTTCTGGAAATACTGTGTGAGTACTACACATACTACTGTACAATTAGTTAACCTCCACCATCGGGCCCTCCATAGATGTAGCATTCATTCTCGCTCGCTGAGTCTCACTATCGCCTTTTCTCCCTATCCGCCCCTACGACGTGTAGTAGTTTTGGGGAGAATTTTGCTGAAAATGATCCCGGGGATTTTGTACTCCTGTACAACCCTCCCACCCAACCAGCCGATGATCCTACCACACGTTCCCGAAAAGAGCGGAGATGCACACTTTCGATAAACTGTCAAAAATAGCACCTGAACGGGAAGAGACAACAATCAGAATAAGGTTTCCCAGGCTAAATACGACCTCTCTCTTCTTCACCCACTGAACAGAACGCTCCGCAGGGGATCTTATCG